ATTACACCTCCTTTAGCTTTTAGAATCACTAGTATATACTCTTTATAATTTTGTGGTAGATGGTCAAACATTAAGTCTGTGAAACCGATAGAATTATGATACTTAGTATGATTTCCCTAACACTAGCAAGGTTGCCCCTGCTCCAAGGAAAATGCAGTAATTAAACATCTCACCACAATAATTGTAATGATGATAGTGGCAATTTTGAGTTAATTAGTAAATTCTGGTGGTATTTACATTTACATTCACATTGTGCTACTTCAGGAAATACATGCTATATCCCTAAGGTCCAGACTGTGATTTGCTGTTCTGTACAGGACATAGCACATTCTGGATTTTAATACCTCCACAGAGCCTCTTGGAGAACCTTGTCTGAATTCTGAGGGTCACCTGTTCATGTCATCAGTTGCCCAGATTAAGCATAAATGAAGTCATATTTTTATACCTTAGCAGTCCATAGCCCAGGGATGCACCTTGTGCTCACGCAGTCTTGTGCGCCCCTGAGGACAAAGGTCACATTTGATTTCTAGGACATTCCTCCCAATGGCTTTTGGAAGAATGAAGGAGTGAATGACAATCTCAAGGTTTAACCAGGCAAATTTAGAGAGAAGCATATTGGGAAATTCTTTTTGGGAAGTGCTTTTTATACACGAAGCATTTAAAAAAATAGGTGCTGGTGTACATTTATGAGGCTAGATAAAGTGGGATAGAAGTAATGTTGGAGAAGTATAGGCATTAGAAAGGCCAGGACTGGTGTTTTGGTAAGAAGAATAAGAGAGGTGGGGGTTGAATCCTGACTGTGCCACTTAATGCTCTGTGATGTTGGGAAGTTATTTCACCTGTGAGCCTCGTGGCTCATCTGTTGCTGAGAATGGGTTATGGTTCCTTCCTAATAAGAGTATTGTGAGGATTAAATGAAACAGTATATATAAAGCTATCTAACACAGTGTCCACAACAAAGCAGATTCTTGATCATTGTTTGTTCCTTTCTGCTCTTTATTTGCTTGTGTTATTAGGAGAAATTATTAAATACTTGCTTGACCAACATTACTGCCCTTGTCATTCTCCTGCTTTCAAAAATCCCCCATAGCTATTTTATTTCATCTTGAACATATAATTATAGCTTTTTACAGAACATATTTTTGAGAAACCCAGGCTTGGAAAAGTAAGTGGCATTTCACTCTGATTGATTAAAGTAATTGAAAGTAAACCTGGAACTAAACACAGGCCTCAGGACTCTCAGTCCTTCCCACCACATTACTGGTGATACTTTCTGCTTCTGTGATGGGTGTGGACATGGAAGATATATGACTTGGTTTTTGTATTGACCCTCTTTTTTAAAGATTTTATTTATTTATTTTTAGAGACAGGGTAAGGGTGGCAGAAAGAGGGAGAGAAACATTGATGTGAGAAACATGGATCAGTTGCCTTTTACATCTGCCCTGCCAGGAGGAACCTGCAATCTAGGCATGTGCTCTGATCAGAAATCAACCTTCAGTCTTTTGCTTTGTGGGCCAACCAACTGAACCACACTAGTCAGGGCATTGACTTTTAAATTACAAGTCTTTGGAGAAATATCTTGTAAAATAAAGCTTCAAAGTAATTTAGCAGTATGGGTATACTCAGTTCATATAATAAGCTATCACTATGAAAGTTAGCTTGGCCCTGGCTGATGTGGCTCAGTGGATTGAGTGCCAGTCTGCAAACCAAAGAAAGGGGCACCAGTTGGTTTCCCAGTCAGGCCACATGCTTGGGTTGTGGGCCAGATCCCCAGTAGGGGGTACATGAGAGGCAACCACACATTGATGCTTTTCTTCCTCTCCTCCTTCCTCCCTTTCCCTCTCTCTAAAAATAAATAAATAAAATCTTAAAAAAAAACAACCCAGGCTTAGTAATTTAAAAAAAGAAAGAAAGTTATCTTGATTTTTCAGTGGATTGCCAAACCCTTGAGGCAGAGTTGCCTGTAACTGATTAATACTTTCAGAATAATTGTACTGCTCTCAGGAAATTACATGTTGAATGGTAATATCCCTTTGTGTTGTAATTTTAAAGATGGTAAATCTTACATTATGTCTAATTAATTTTATCTCTTCTCCCCCTCTTTATTTACTTAAAATTTAATTCTGTATAACAGAAAATATTAAATTTTGAAGACTAACTTTGATATGGTTGATTCATATTCTAGGAAAATATGCTTCTGGATTTTCTTGGAATTTTTCAACTTCATAGACATGTACACTGTTTTACTTCTTGTGACTCCTTTCCTTGTCTGTTTTGTAAGAGGCACAGAGCAGGCCATCTGGGGGCATCTTTTTGTTACTTCTAAAATAGTTAAGACATTGTCAACCTGTTCTCTGTTTCAATGTCTTTGGTTATATTTTGCTTGTTTGTGTTTTTTGTTGTTGTTGTTTAGGTTCCTGTTAAAGGTGAGATCATATGGTATTTGACCAGAGGGGAGGGAATTTCAGGGGAAAAGGGGAAGGGTTTATAGGAACAAGTATAAAGGACACATGGACAAAAACTAGGGGGGGTGGAAATGGGAGGGAGGCTGGGAGCACTGGGAGGATGGGCTGGGATGGGAGTAAAAGAAAACTGTACTTGAACAACAGTTAAAAATAAAATAAAATATTTAAGACAATCTTCTAATCATACAGTGAACACTTATGAAGAAAAAGAAAAACAGTCTAGAAGAAAAAATAGGGACTTCATGAAAAAGGATGGCACATGGGCTCTTAAACATGTGAGCCCAACAGGTGAAGAATGCACATGGTGGCTCCAGGCTGCAGGGCTTCATGTTTTCATGCTGTCACTTACTAGTTTGAGCAAATTCTTAACATCTTTTGCCTCAGTTTTCTCATCTCTAAAGTGAGGATTAAATGATTAATAAATGTAAAATATTTAGAATAGTGCTTGGCACAAAGGGCTGAAGAAATGTTATTTGGTATTGTTGCTCTTATTGTGATTATTTCTAAAAATGATGCCCAACTTCATTCATCATAGGAGGAATTGAAGTTTAAACGAAACTAAGATCCATGATAATACATTGTGTAATAAGAGTGCTGACATATATGGATGGTTATTTTATATGTTGGTACTACTTTAATAGAGAACAATTTGAAATAGCTGTTAAAGGTAAACCAGCTATTTAATTTTGACCTGGCAGTTTCATTTCTAGGAGTTTATCTTAGAAATTTATGTATTAAAAAGATAGATATATACAATAATATATGCAAATAGTAACTGCAGTACTATTTATGTAAGCAAAAGACTGGAAGTAACAAATGTCCCAGTGGAAACAGGTAAATTGTTAAATCTATGTAATGGAATACTCTGTAGTACCATTGAAAAGAAATGAAGTAGGTCTACATGTGCCAGTATAGAATGATTTGCAAGATGTGCTGTTAAGTAGGAGGGGACACCTTCCACACACCTACATACAATACTAATGTAAGTCCGTACTATCTCTGGAATGAATGAAAAGTACTGACAGTGGTTGCTTTTGAGGAGAGGGTCTGAAAGGGAGGATAGGGAGACTTACTTTCCTATACTCTTTTGTACTGTTTGAAACAAAAAATTTTAAACATGTTTACATATTAGCTTTTACCCTCCCCTAAATCCTTTACCTGTTTCCTGCAACACACATATATACACACTCTTGCATGCAGAGTTTTCAGAACATGCAAATGTTATTCCAGGAATCTGCCTGGCTGTGCAGTGACAGGGAATATTGTATTAAGTTTATTGAATATGTGATGTGATACTTGGGTCATAGCAGGCATCTGATTCTTGTCATCTAAATTGGTGCTGATGGGAAAAATTTGCCTGGATGGTGGAAACTGAGGCCTTGGCTAAGTATGCTCAAGCTCTGAGGCATACTTTTTAGATGTCGTCAAGAATGCTGGAGCCAGAAAAAGATCTTGGTCTTCATGTAGCCTTTCTCGGCTATTTTTAGAGGTCTAAGAAGAGAGTGAGTAGAAAGGAACTTCACGAGTTCTGTACCTCCCTAGGGAACCATGGCTGTATTTACCAACTGTTTGATAAATACAGCCACAGTTGGAACCTATTTCAGGTTCCAGAGCTGAGAGCTAGAATGGAAAATTCACTTGGCACAATAGAGTTTTGTGCTTACGCTGCCCCTTGTAATTTCTGGAAATACTTTTTAACCCTGGAAGAATTGAAGTCATGACCAGGATTCTTTGTGTAAAACGCCTTAAACATATCAAATTTAGAGTTTTAAGGGACTTCATACAACTCTCTACTTTTTATTGGGTGGTGTTTAAGCTAATTGCTACTTGCATAAAGGCTATAGCCATCAGCTCTAACATCATAATTAGGGTGAATTGTCTCACCTTGTTCAAATAACTTTTCTCAGTGTGAAATGAAATATGGTCTGTATATATGTAGAAAATGTGATCATATAAATTGGGACCAGGATATAATACTTTATTTTATACAATAAATCTTAGACTACTGCTTCTTAATATTTTCATTCTAAACTGTCCGAGGGGTGACTCATTCCCATTGTTAAACAGTGGCTTGGTGTGGCATTGATATTCTACAGGAGTGAGGAGTCTTTCAGTGAATACTAGAGGTGGTTATTGGAAAGTGGGGAGGTAGAGATAATGATTCTGATTTTTAAAACACACCCCTCCCTCACCCTCCTGATGAGAGATCCTGGTTTCATCTAGTTCGCTTGTCTTCCCTCTGTTATCTGTTGTCTGCTTGCATATGAGCATGTATAAAACAGATTACCACTGACTTACAAGTGCTCAAGACAAACAACTGGTTGTAGAAAGTTTTGCTCCCGTTACAGGCAAAGGCCCAGATCTGAAGGTGGAAGGATTACATAGTGTTGCTGGGGAAAGTGAGCAATCTGTTTAACCAAAGGTGGATAGTTTAGTTTAGAATTAGCTTTTGTTTTCTTTTATTAACAGTGTCTTTTATAAAATTAGTTTAGTAGTTCTTTAATTTTTGCTTGGAATCCTTTTTATTTGTTACAGGAGAGATGTCAGCATATTTATAGGAATTGCCTGAAGCCAGAGTCATGGTGGATGTAGGAAAGTGGCCAATCTTCACTCTGCTTTCACCTCAGGAAATTGCATCTATTCGGAAAGCATGTGTCTTTGGCACCTCAGCCAATGAAGCATTGTACGTTACCGACAGTGATGAGGTAAGAATCTCTCAAAATCCAGAATTTAATTTTAGGGCTTATTTTGGGAATCAGCTTTAAAGCATTCAGTTTGAAGATTGAGAAAAGGTGGGGGATAAAAGAACACTGTCTTTGGTATAATTTATCTTTTCTTGAATTTTCTTGATTTAATACCACTCCATTCCTACTACTCTTTGAGTTTCATAGTATAGCTAAACATTCTGAAGTAATTACTTAAGTAAACTTAAGTAATGTCAGCAGAGGTTCACTTTTTCTTACCTTTTTAGCCTTTCCCTATCTATTGTTCCCTAGCTGTTAAATTGAACTTGACAGCTATTCCCTAGCTGTTAAATTGAACTTGAATGTGTCTTATTATCAGAGTGAAGAAGGGAGCTTTTGTGTAACGTTAGGCCAAATGACTCAAACAGAACTATTTGTTTTTAGGTCTTTGTATTTGGACTGAACTACAGTAACTGTCTAGGAACTGGAGATAACCAGAGTACACTTATACCCAAAAAGCTAGAAGCTTTATGTGGAAAGAAGATTAAAAGCCTTAGTTATGGCAGTGGACCACATGTTCTTCTTAGCACTGAAGGTAAAGAGGGAATAAGTCCAGCTTTTCAGTTTGTGGAAAATCAATCAGTTAATTCTTTTTTGCTAATATATTTTATTGATTATGCTATTGCAGTTGCCCCACTTCCCCCCTTTATTCCCCTTTGCCTCACACCCTCCCTCCCACCAGCATTCCCCCCCACTTAGTTCATGTCCATGGGTTGTACAAATAAGTTCTTTGGCTTCTACATTTCCTATATTATTCTTGATTTCCCCCAGACTATTTTGTACCTACCATTTGTCTTCTTATTCCCTGTACCTTTTTCCCCATTCTCCCCTCCTCCCACTCCCCGCTGATAACCCTCCACTTCTGTGATACTGTTCCTGTTCTAGTTATTTCCTTAGTTTGTTTTTGTTTTTTTTCCATTAAGTTGTTAACAGCTCTGTTTGTTATCATTTCACTGTTCATATTTTTTATATTCTTTTTCTTAGATAAGTCCCTTTGACGCTTTGTAAAATAAGGACTTGGTGATGATGAACTCCTTTAACTTGACCTTATCTGGGAAGCACTTTTTCTACCCCTCCATTCTAAATGATTGCTTTGCTGAATAGAGTAATCTTGGATGTAGGTCCTTGCCTTTGATGACTTTGAAAAATTTCCAGCCCCTTCTTGCCTGTAAGTGTTCTTTTGAGAAATCAGCTGATAGTCTTGTGGGAACTCCTTTATAGGTAACTATCTCCTTTTCTCTTGCTGCTTTTAAGATTCTCTCCTTATCTTTAATTTTGGGTAATGTAATTATGATGTGCCTTGGTGTGTGCTTCCTTGGGTCTAACTCCCTTGTGACTCTTTGAGCTTCCTGGACTTCCTGGAAGTCTATTTCCTTTGCCAGAATGGGGACGTTTTCCTTATTATGTTTTCAAATAAATTTTCAATTTCTTGCTGTTCCTCTTCTTCTGGCACCCCTATGATTTGGTTGTTGGAATGTTTAAAGTTGTCCCAGAGGTTCTTAAGCCTCTCCTCATTTTTTTAATTCTTTCTTTATTCTGTTTTGGTTCAATGTTTATTTCTTCCTTCTGGTACAAACCATTGATTTGATTTCCAGTTTCCTTCCCTTCACTGTTGGTTCCCTGTACATTTTCCTTTACTTCACTTTTCATATCCTTCACTCTTTTCTCAGTTTTGTGACCATACTTAACCATTTCTGTGAGCATTCTGATTACCAGTGTTTTGAACTGTGCATCTGATAGGTTGGCTCTCTCTTCATCGATTCGTTGTATTTTTTTCTGGAGCTTTGATCTGTTCTTTCAGTTGGGCCATTTTTTTTTTTTTGTCTTGGCACTCCTGTTATGTGGTAAAGGGTGAAGTTTTAGATATTCCCCAGGGCAGGGCAACCCACTTTGTTGTGTTGTGGGGGTAGTCCAAGAGGAAACAGTGTCACTTGCTCAGTTCTCAGCTGGCTTTCAGTCACTTCCTCCTCTACTCACAAGCAAATTGGGGCCTTCTGGTGCTGATTCACAGGTGGGTGGGTTTTTGTACATTCTAGGATTCTGTGCGTCTCTCCAACAAACTGTCCTGTGAGGCTGGGAGTTTCTCTCCCTACCTCAACCCCCACAGGTTTTTTCAGTCAGAGATTTTGAGGCTTTATTTCTTTATGCTGGAACCCTCAGTTGCACAGTCTGTCTTGCTTCCCAGTTGTTCCTCCTGATTTATCTGCACGCAAATGTGAGACTGCCCAGTCCACCAGTGCCACCTTGCCCATCCTGGTCTGCCAGCCGCTGCCTTGCTGTGAGTCCCCTCTGCCCCTGCTGCCTACCTCCTGCCAGTCTGGATAAATGTTTCTTTTTTAGCTCCTTGATTGTTGGACTTTCATACAGTTCAATTTTCTGGCAGTGCTGGTTGTTTTTTTGTTTTTAAATTTTTTGTTGTCTTTCTTTTGGTTATATGAGGAGGCACAGTGTATCTACCTATGCCTCTATCTTCTCAAGCAGTTAATTCTTTGAAAAAAAAAAACCAAAAGTTTTATTTTTAGAGAGAGGGGAAGGGAGGGAGAAAGAGAGGGAAAGAAATGTTGATGTGAGAGAAACATCAATCTCTTGCCTCTTGTCCGTGCTCTGACTGGGAACCAAACCCACAATTCAGGCATGTGCCCTAAAGAGGGATTCGGTTGGCAACCTTTCATTTTTTGGGACAATGTCCAACCAGCTACTGAGCCACCCTGATCAGGACTTAAGCAGTTAATTCTAAGATAAGGGAGATGGGGCTGGATCAAATAATTAATTTCAGATGGTTTGTTCATTAATTTTTGAGAGTTGAAAGTTAAACACTTGCTAACTTTGTAACAGCCATAGGATGTCTTGCAAATTAAGCAAACTTCTGAGATTTTAGGCTACTTACATAAAGTTGTGGAAGATTAGATGTAAGAAATGAAGTGGTCCTTCTGCCTAATTTTTCACTGGATTTGTGATAACAAGGCAACTTTAAAGTTTTACTTGGTACATTTTTACAAACAGATAAAACTGGTTTTCCTTTTTGTGTGTAATTCCTGAACTTTGAATTCAAGAACTCTTAGTTATTCTCTGGCATTCCTGTGGATGCCATTGGGGAAAAATGTGGGATAGATCCCTCTCCTTTTTCTCTGCCTCCCCAAGATCATTAAAGAAGGAGACTATTCATTTGTCTTTGATGAGTTTATCTCCAGAACTCTCTGAAACTCTGTTATTTATAACCTAAGTTCTTCCTTTTATATTTTAGATACATTAGTTCTCTCTCTCAATCTCTCTCTAGCAGAGGTCCTCAGCTTTTTGTTGAGTGATCCTATAGTGTGGCATCTGGGAGACAGTTTGCTTCCCTGCCTTTTTTGTCTCTAGACTATGAGCTTCCTTGGATGTAGCTGTAGGTCTTCTGAGTATTGAGCTTTTTAACTACTTTTAACTCATATCAGTCCAACTTGTATGCATCTTTCTCAAGCTGTGAGATCCAGATCTGAGCATGATTGTCTAGTAAGAGTATAACTGGTGTTGAGCATAATGAGGTGATTATCTGACATCTGTGTTATGTAATCATGCCTTCTAGCATCACACTGGCTCTTTCAGGCAGTTACAGCCTTACTGACTGGTTTAGCCTGTCATCCATTGTGACCTAATTATTTAATTTTTTTCTGAACTTGTATCAATTTTAACCAGTCATTGATTTCTTACCATAAATTCTTGAGGCAGTTTTTTAGAGCAAACATACTAAAACATATACATTAAAATTTTTGGTTTTCTTCAAAGTGGTGACTTAAGGAAATTATAACTCTTCTTTTGGAATTATTTTTAGCATCAAGATTATACAGTTTTAACTATCTCAAATGTTATAATTGAAATATAAATATAAAACAATAAATATAAAAATGTAAATATCTGATTTGTGGGAATATTTTAATTTTAATTCAATTTTGATTGTTAACATACATTTTACACAATATACATTAAACACGCTGTGCATTATATACCATGTATATAAATACATGTATTTGTATTATATGTTTTATAGTCATACTGTTTTGAAACAGTTTAACGCTTTAGCCCTGGATGGTGTGGCTCAGTAGACTGTCAGCCTGCGAATCGAAGGGTCACTGGTTCAATTCCCAGTCAGGGCACATGCGTGGGTTGCGGGCCAGGTCTCCAGTGGGGGATGCGTGACAGGCAACCACACATTGATGTTTCTCTCCCTCTCTCTTTCTCTCTCCCTTCCCCTCTGTCTACAAATAAATAAAATCTTTAAAAAAAAATAAAACAATTTAATACTTTAAGTCATAAAATAGTTCATGGCTTTTAGTGAAGAGGAGAAGGACCTCTGTCTTAGCTGTCTTCACTCTTAAAAACTGCTCTTTGGAAGGAAGCACTTTTAACTCTTTCAGATGTTTCTTCTGATATTTAATCTCATTTTTAAATTAACATGCTATAGTGATATTTCTAAATTTTTAATTTTGGATATTATCCTTTGACTTTTTAGAATGGCAAATAGGATTTAGCTTTCTTTTCCCTACTTTCCCTCCGCTTATTGTTTTAGTAGAGTGATATCACTGTTTTGATAAAGTCATTGTTCAGTGTTTACATTATTAGAACTCTAGAAATGAGCCTACCTCCTTTCTTATATAACTATTTGTTTTTTCTGAGGTTCGTTTACTTACTTTTTTATACATTTATCATTACCATATACCCCAACACTTCTACAGGGAAGTATTGCCTTATAGTACATCTGAGCATGTCAGGTCAACTCTGGAACCTCTGTGTCTTCTGCAGCCTGGGCTGTCATTCTTGGCCTGTCGAAAAGCTGTCACCCTAGAACTTCATTTCACCATTATCCTTGAAAGTTCCCTTGCCTTTGTCTTCTCTGAATCCCCTGTTCTTTGTGTCCTATAATCCTCCTTGGATTGTATTGGATTGTACCCTCATTTGGGTGAAACACATTCTCTAGTAGTTTCCTAAGGAAAGGAGTGTAAGAGAAATCTTTGGGACCCTGTCTTAAAATGTCTTTATTTTACCCCTGCAATTGATCAGTGATTTGGCAGGACTTAGAATTCCTAATAGGAAATCATGTTTCCTCAGAATTTTGAAGTCATTGCACCTTTTAAGGTTCAAGGGCTACTCGTGAGAATCTAGTACCATTCCAACTTTTGCTATTATACATTAGACTTTTTACTTTCCTGGAAGCTTTGAGCTTCTTTTCTTTATTCCAAGTGTTCTGAAATAACCATGATAATATACTCTGATGTGGGTAATTTTTAATTTACTGTATTGGTCATTCTGTTGGTCCTTCAATCTAGAAATAACTTCATTACTAGAAAAATTTCTTGTATTATTTTATGGACAATTGCCCTTCTTTGCTTTCTCTTTTCTGGAGTTTTTCTTAGAAAGACATTAGAGATTCTGGATATACCTTTGGGGAAATTTCTTCAACATATCTTACAACTGTCATGGTCAAATTTTTAACATTTCTGCTATTATATTTCCAAGTTCTCTCTCTTGTTTTCTAAGTGTTCTTTTCTAGAGTCTTCTGTTCTTATTTCATGGATTCAATACCTTTTCTTTGAAGTAGTAGTTATAGGTTATTTAAAAATTATTTTCTGTTCTCGTAGTGTTTCTTTTTTTTACCTCTCCAGATTCTTCTTTCTCTTTGTTTGTTTTGGTCTCTGACTTTTAATTTAGAGATTTTCTTTAAAAGTTTGATGATACTTGGCTATGTGTTTTCAGGTAAGAGCCAGGTGCTAATATACATTTTGGAAGTTTAGTGTTCATGGTTGGGACTTGCCAAATACTGAGCTTCACTTTCGGGAGATAATAACTGTTCATTCAGGATGCTTCTGATGTCAGTGTATGAATTTCTGTAGGGTGGCTTCCTTTTTATTTTAGTTTTTGTCAGCTTTCTAGATACTGCACAAGGGAAGGTCAGGGATCTCAGTGTGTAGTATGGGGACTTGCAGTTCTTCTTTTCTCACTACAGTGCCTCCTCAGAGCTTCTCTAATTTTTTCCCCCAGAGCCTTTGGTCATATTTTCTTTGTTGTGTTACTTGGGGGAAGGGAGGGAAGCAGATTTGGGTTTAAGGGAAAAGTAGGGCTGAATTGCTGTTTCTGTAAGAAATTAACAGCATATAAATGCCATGTCTCCTGTATTTTCCCAGGGTTGGGGAGGAGCAGTTGCCTGATCCCCTAGGAGGAGGAGGAAGATTTGGAGTCTTACTTCTTCTGTTTTCAGTTGCACCTGCCTATGTATCTCCTGTGGTCCCTGGGCCTTTGTGAAATTCCAGGGCTGGAATTGGCTGCCCTTTTGCATATGTAGTGTTACCTTCTCTGGTCTGCTATGTTACCACATCTGTTTGCTTTCCAGCTCCCCAAATTTTGTTGACATCTCTCCTGTTGTATTTTCTTCTTTATTTTTCTTGTCCTTGAGTGTTTATGCCTTCCCCATCCCTACACCTTACTGTTATTTCAATAGGATTTTGGGAGTGAACGAAGATAAAAACATGTGTTAAATTCTCCATTCTTTATTGGCTAATGTGGTATTCCTAAAGGGTGTTTTATGAATATTTCGATAAATGGCTATGTTGTTAAATCGAACATCTAGTCCCACCTGGTGACAACTCTGAAGATCAGTATTTATTTGGTATTATTATTTCACATACATGCCTATGGCTTGTGGATTTCTTTTTGTCTTCTGAAGCAACACTGAATTAGATTACTTGTAAAATTATTTTTTTCTGGTCACTTCTCCAACTCAGTGTCCAGTTTGTAAAGGCTACACTGAGTTTCCTTGAAGGTCAGAGATTTATAGGATGCCGCTTTGCCTCCCTCTAATCTCTCTCTTCCCCACTGCCGACTCTCCCTTCTAACCTGGCATTGCTTCACTGTCATATATCCTTGAGTAATTTTGCTCATCTCAGTTCTCAAGTGATCCTGAAGTATCATCCTTAGTATGTTAGAGAGACAGTGTCCAGTTGGTGTCCAGTTGGATTTGGCTGCTTTGAAAGCTTTCCCAAGAATTGGGACTATGACCCATCTCATGAAGGAGTTAACTTTTCCTATGAGTCATCAAGTAAAAAGGGAAGACAGATATACATATCCTATTTTAAAGAGTAAAATAATGTATTAACAAGAAAGTAATTGTCAATGGCCAATCTGGAGAGGACTTATAGTAACACTGTCAACATCTGGGGAGTAAGTCCTTTATTCTGAGGGTCATCTGAGCAACACAGCACAGCATTCACTAGGTCTCTACCATGCACTGCTTAGATCTGCATCTTCCTGCATGTTTTGGGTGTAGCTCCTCCAGGATTCTGGTGGGCCCCTTTTCCTAGGGAAAATTTATAAGAAGATCTTTAGGGAGGTATATTACAGCCTCTGTACTGCAGCTGATCTCCTGGCCACAACTATTACTCATCCTAGTTCCTCTAGAACCTTTCTGGATTACCTTCATATTTGGCTAGTACCTGGTTTGGGTGGCTTACCTAATTGTGTGACCCAGACTCACATCTCTAAAGAGTATGAGCCCCTGTCCATGCTGTCTTCTGGCTGTGGCTGCTGCACATTTCTGTTTACTGTCACTACTGGGCAAGTGTACACCTAAAGACTACCAAGTGTCACCTGGGTGCCAGGCCAGCTTGTTACCACTATCTCCAGTGGACAGCTTTTGGATGCTGCAGTATATGATAGGGCCAGTGAGCACTTCTACACCTCTTTTGCTATAAAGTAAGTCCATTGGTCTGTTAAGATCTTTCGTGGGATCCTATGTCAGTGGACTAAATACTCTGCGAGCCCTCAGATAAGTGGTGCTAGCTGAGGCCCTGTGCTCAGGAAACCCATATTTGGGTTGTATGTTGATTCCTGTCAATATGAATGGCTGCTCCTTCCAGGATAAAATGGGTCCATTTGGAGTCATCTTGCTACCAGATAGTTGGACTGTCTCTTGACAGGTGCTGTATCAGGGGCTCTGCATTGGTTCTGTTGCTATTGGAATGGGCATTCAGCAATGGTAGTAGGTAGATCAGCCTTGTTCAGTGGGAATCCAGTCTTCTGTTATTTGCATTTTTCTCCTTATGAGTGACATTGAGCATCTTTTCATATACTGTATTTTGCCATGTGTAATGTGCACCTTTTTGCCTAAATTTTTGAGGGAAAAATAAGGATGTGCATTATACATGCATATAATAATGAGGTATAATAATCCCATTTATAATGCACACAAAAATGTGGTTGCACATTATATGTGGCAAAATTCAGTACATAATTAAGACCTATTTACATTTCTTTCTTTGTGAACATCAATTCATTTTTCTATAGGTTTCTTGGTTGTTTTCTTATAAGCTCTTTTTATATTGGAGATTAACTCTTAGTAATATAAATTGCAAATATTTTTCCCAATATTTTTTTTGCTTATGTAGTTCATTTCCTTGTAAAGTTTTTTCAAAAATATAACTAGATTTATCACTCTTTTTTATTGCTTCTGGATTTTGTGTTATAGGAAAGTTTTCCCTACTTCCAAGTTATGGATGAATTTACAATTTTTTTCCTTCTAATTCTTATATGATCTTACTCTTTCCATTTAAATTTCTGATTTATTGGGAAGTTATGGTACATGGCATGAGGATTGAATCTAATTTTTCAATATGATTGTCCAATTATATCAGTCTAACTTGTAAAAAGAGTCCATTTTTCCCCAACTGACATAACTTTTATTTCCATATATAATTGATTTATTTCTAGACTCTCCATTTCATTGGTTTGTCTGTCCATGTCCTAGTATTAATTTTAGTTTTAGAAAGTTTTTATAGGTTCTAATAAATGATGGAGCTAATTATCTTCTTTTTAAAAAGGTTTTTCTATTTATTCTTGTTTGTTCTTTCCATTGAACTTTTTAATCAGTTTTTTCTAGCTCTAGAAAGTAACTTGAGGCATTTTACTACCATTATTTTACATTTTTAAATTTATAAAGGGAAAACTAGTATCTTTATGATTTGAATTTTACTATCCAAGAACAAGGTATGTATTTCTGTCCATGTATATATTTTTTTATCTTTTAGGAGTTTAAACACTCATAGTTTCGGACATTTCTATCACTTGATATAACTTTAACATAATATTGTGGATTTCTTTTTTAGGTTTTATACTCTGTTTTCAATCTTGAGCCTTATCATTCTTAGGATAAAATTTCCCATTTATACTTTCTATTACAATTTCTGTAATAGGGAAAACCTTCTTCTGAGGTACACTTCAGAGGTTCTCAAGATCTGGCTTGTACTACCTGGAAGAGGACCCTAATTTTGTTGGGTTATAGTCATTCTAGAGGAGATAATTAGAAACCTATTTAAGTATGAGTATCTGTCCCCTGATTGCTTGGGGACTGTTGTCATGAATTTCTGCTATCTGTCTTGGATATTGTCATTACCAGATGTAGATTGTCCTTAAAAAGTCAGCATGTTTTAATACCATGGAAAGACATGAGAAAAGTTTGTAACTCTGGGATATTTGCTCTTGATACTCAGGATGGTGTAGGAGGAAATGCATGGAACAATGCTATTTCCAGAGAGGACATGGAACAGAGAAGTGACCTCTATCAGAATCCAAAAAAGATAAAGCCATTAAAAAAATTCAGCCAGATTTTACACCAATAGTCTGTTTGAGAGAGGCCCTGTGATTTTTTTTATATAGTATATACAAAAAATACACCTCTTTCCTCTGTACTTTGTGAGTTAGTGACACACACACACATACCCCTGAGAGTTCCCCGAGACTTGGTATTTGGTAAAATGATGGTCAAGATTAGTACATATTGAACTTTCTTGTGTCTTTTGCCTTTTGTTTGGTACCTGACACAGAAACTGTTGAGAGGATTCAAAGTGTTTAGAAGGTCTCATTTTCGTATGTGTTTAAGATGACTTCTGACTATAAAGCTGATATTCTACATGAGTACCAATTCCTTTAATGATTTTGCATCTTGTCTATCCTGTTTTCTTATCCATCCCTCTTTCTCCCACCCCTCATGAATAGTACTTTATAGGGAGGAAGGGCAATATACATAAATTAAGGTTGGAGAATGAGTTGTGCAAAATCTGAGGAAGAAAATTGCAAGGGTTACCATTTCTTCTTGGAGCTGACTCCTTGTATGTGGCCATCTTGTATAGATGGAGTTGTTTATGCCTGGGGCCACAATGGATATAGCCAGCTTGGGAATGGGACAACCAACCAAGGCATTGCTCCCATCCAAGTCTGTACCAATCTCTTGGTCAAGCAAGTGGTTGAAGTAGCTTGTGGCTCACATCATTCAGTGGCTCTGGCAGCTGATGGAGAGGTAAGTGCTTTGCTTTTATTCTTTATTTTTAAACTGTGGTAAAGTACACATAAAATTTACCATCTTAACCATTTAAGTGTACAGTTCAGTGCCATTGAGTACTTTCACGTTGTTGTGTAACCATCACTACCATTCATCCACAGAACACTTTTGTTTTAGATTTTATTTATTTATTTTTAGACAGAGGGGAAGGGAGGAAGAGAGGAAGAGAAACAACAATATGTGGTTGCCTCTTGTGCATCCCCCACTGGAGACTTGGCCTGCAACCCAGGCATGCGCCCTAGACTGCGAATTGAACCAGCGACCCTTAGATTCACAGGCCGGCACTCAGCCACTGAGCCACACCAGCCACAGAACTCTTTTCATCTTGCCAAAATGAAGTTTTGTATCCATTAAACATTAACTCTCCACTTCCTCTTCCCAGGGCCCCTGGCAATCACTTTCTATACCTGTGAGTCTAATGATACAGTATTTGTCCTTTCGTGACTGCTTTATTTCACTTAGCATAATGTTTTCAAGGTTTATCTATGTGGTAGCACGTGTCAGAATTTCCTTTTTAAAGGCTAAAAAATATTCCCCTGTATGTATGTGTCACATTTTATTCATTTATCTGTTGATAGATATTTGGGTTGTTTTCTACCTTTAAACTATTGTGAAAGTGCTTTGCTTTAAAAAAAATAATGACCGTATTGTACTTGGTATAGTGTGAACATAGTAGCCCTGTGTGCATAGCTAAAAACATTGTAGGAACACATTCTTTTTCTAACACATCCCGTGTTATGTGATCAGGATTACTCTTTTGATGACAGTAGACTTAGTCTTAAAGCAGCTGAGTCTTGTGCTGTTTGCTAAGACTACAAATTAGAGTGTTTGGCAGTGTTTTGTACATTTTTTAAAAAATGACCCTATCCCTTAAGGTATATTTTGCTTTTCAGTAAATGTAATGATGTCATAGAAAATAACTTTACTTTAAAAGTAAATAGAAAATAACTTTATTAATCACACAAGTTTCATGCTTATCTTAAAGATTACTTATCCTATTGATTCTACTTTCTAATCTCATATAATTTTGTTCCTCTCCATCTCCATAACCTTTGGTCAGGCCTTGTCATCTGCCTGGACTATTGCTATGATCTCTTTTATTCCATAGATTTTTAATTGGTCTACCTGTCCAGTATTACTTCTCCATCTTCTGTGATTTCTAAAACACAAATCAGATTATATTGTTCCCTGTTTAAAGTCCTTCAGTTGTCTTACAGTGATTTTTATGAAATAGGATGAGTTATGCATGAAGAAACCAAAACAGCTCAGGAAGATTGAGGTTTCTTTGCTGGGATATGCTGGGGCTAAGCTATCATGTAAGCCTTATGACCCAGAACTTACTGTGTCCTACTCTGTTTCTTGCTTAGTACAACTACAGTCCCCATTTTAAAAATAAGACAGCTGCCTTACAAGGGAACTGGGGGTGTTTGAGAAGTGCCAGAAAAATGAGTGTTGAAATTAGAACTTGCTAATTTGTACAGTCTAGATTCCTGGTAATACTCATCTTAAACATATGTTACTTTGGGTAATTATGCTAAATATTTGTATTATTATACTAGATATTCCTGTGAATTCACTTTCAGTAATTGTTCTCCTAGTCTAGAAGTTATTTCCTCTGCTGCCAACATTCCCCTTCTGATTCTTTTCTCTGATCACACTCCTGTTTGATAGAACAGAAAGTTGGTATTTAACTTAAAGTTGCTTTTTTGGTTCCTTTTCATCTTTGTTACTAGATTTTAACTAGCTTAGAGATCTATTTGTGTGTCTCTCTCCCTTAGAAATATGATTTTTAAGTTATGGCAGATCATAGGCCAAAAGTAATAAGCAGATGCAGTTGAGGAGGGGGGCTACTCGGAGCTGAGAGACAACAAATGAGAACTCAGAGACAATATTACTGAGAATAGACTGACAGCGTGGTGTCTTTTCTGTAGGGACAGAATGTCTCCATAGTACTTGGGAGCATTACTGTGGTATCATGTGGAATTGTGATTGATAATTATAATCCTGATGGTCCTGAATCATCAGAAAAGGTTATGAATGTCCAGTATCAGTGATTAGGGAGACAGGAAGAAAGCATAGTAGGTTTCAAAAGGTTCCATGAAAAAAAAAAAAGAATATTTATGGCCACAGAGTTAAGGAGAATCTTTCATGTCACTTTATTTATGTAGTGTATACTTCATTTCTTATCGATGCCAGATTAAAAAACATATATGGCTGCCATTATTATAGAGGCAATACAGCATAGTGGCTAAGAGCACAGCTAGACTTTGTTAGGTTCAAATTCCACTTCTACTACTTACTAACTGTGAAACCTCAAGCAAGTCACTTAACCTGTGTTTCCATATATAAAATGGGGATGATGATAGTATCTATCCCAGGGTCACCCTACATGATTGCTATGAGGATTAAATAGGTTATTGAAATAAAGCATGTAGAGCCACACATTGTTAGTACTCTTTTAAGTGGGTTTATTTTGATTTTGTGATTTTTATTGTAGTTGGATGTAGAGTTTTCACCCTTACCATTCCTTTCTTTTTTTCCCCCTTCTCTTATATAGGTATTTGCTTGGGGCTATAACAACTGTGGCCAGGTGGGATCAGGATCCACTGCAAATCAACCAACTCCTCGAAAAGTTACAAACTGTTTACATATTAAGAGGGTAGTAGGCATTGCCTGTGGTCAAACCTCATCCATGGCTGTTCTGGACAATGGTGAGGTGAGCTATCTTTGCATTCCCCTTTCACCTCCCCATCTCCTCTTTCAATGAAATGTCTGTTTTCTTTTTTTATGATGTGTGTGTATTAATTAGATCATGGAAGGAAGAGCGCTTTGCTTGGGTAACCCCATTGAGAGTTAACTGGTTACTGACTGAGTAGTTACTAGGGAAGTTTTCTCCTTAGTGTGAATTTTTAAATTCCAAGATTTGTTTGCAAGTAAAGATTCTAATTCCTCTTAAGTTTTTTTCTTTTCTTTTTTATTATTTTTCTCAGCGTCACTAATCAGAGAGATGTAATTTATGTATATTCTTTTATTATTATTTATTTAATTGTTGTTCAAGTATAGTTGTCTTCATTTTACCCCCACTACTTCCTATCACGCCAGCCATTCCCACTCCCCACCCTTGATCCTACCCCTCTTTAGTTTGTCCATGTGTCCATTATACATGTTCCCAAAAACACTTCACCCTTCCCCCCCCATTATCTCTTCTCACTTCTCTGGTTACTGTCTCTTCTTAATTTCAACATCTTTGGTTATATTTTGCTTGCTTGTATGTTTTGTTGTTTGGGTTCCACTTATAGCTGAGATTGTATGGTATTTGTCCCTCACTGCCTGGCTTATTTCGCTTAGCATATGCTTTCAGTTCCATCCATGCTGTCACAAAGGGTAGGAGATCTTTATGCTATGTAGTATTCCATTGTGTAAATGTACCATAGTTTTTTGATCCGTTCATTTACTGATGGGCACTTAGGTTGCTTCTGGCACTTGGCTATTGTAAATTGTGCTGCTATTAACTTTGGGGTACATAGGGTCTTTTAATTGGAGTTTCAGGGTTCTTAGGGGATAATCCCAATGCTGGAATTGCTGGGTCAAAAGGCAGATCCATTTTTAGTTTTCTGAGGAAATTCCATACTGTTTTTCACAGCGTCTGCACCAGTCTGCATTCCCACAACAGTGCACTAGGGTTCCCTTTTCTCCACATCTTCTCAAGCACTTGTTGTTTCTTGATTTGTTTATGATAGACATTCTGACTGGTGTGAATGGTATCTCATTATGATTTTAGTGTGCATCTCTGATGGCTAGTGATGCTGCATCTTTTCATATGTCTTTGGACCCTCTGTATGTCCTCCTTGGAGAAGTGTCTGTTCAGGTCCTTTGCTAATTTTTTAATTGGGTTTTTTGTCTTCCTAGAGTGGAGTCATGTGAGTTCTTTATATATTTTGTAGATCAAACCCTTGTCTGAGGTATCATTGGCAAATATGTTTCCCCATACAGTTGGTTCTCTTTTCATTTTAATGCTGTTTTCTTTAGCTGTGCAGAAGCTTTTTATTTTGATTAGATCCCACTTGTTTATTCTTTCCTTTATATGCCTTGCTCTAGGGGACATACTGGTGAATATATTGCTGCATGGAGTATCTGAGATTTTCCTGCCTGTTCTCCTGTGGTACTTTTATGGTGTCACGACTTAAATTTAAGTCTTTTATCTACCTTGAATTTATTTTTGTGTATGGTGTGAGTTGGTGATCGAGTTTCATTTTTTTGCATGTAGCTGTCAGGGTCTCCCAACACCATTAGTTGAAGAGGCTATGTTTACTCCATTTTATGCTTTTGCTCCCTGTTTTATTAATTGACCATAGAGACTTGGGTTTATTTCTGGGCTCTCTATTCCATTGATCTATGTATCTGTTCTTATGTCAGTACTAGACTGTTTGATTACAGTGGCTCTGTTATACAGTTTGATATCAGATATTGTGATCCCTCCTACTTTGTCCTTTCTCAAAATTGTTGCAGCTATTCGAGGTCATTTATGGTTCCATATACATTTTTGGAAGTGTTTGTTCTATATCTGTGATTTATGACATTGGTACTTTAATAGGGATTACATTGAATCTAAAAATTGCTTTGGGTAATATGGCCATTTAAATGATGTTAATTATTCCAATCCTTGAACATGGTGTATGCTTCCATTTGTTTGTGTCTTCCTTGATTTCTGTCTTTAGTGTTGTGTAGTTTTCTGAGTACAGGTCTTTAACCTCCTAGTTAGGTTCATCCTTGGGTACTTTATTTATCTTGTTGCTATATCAAATGGGATTTTTTTCCTCATTTATGTTTCTGATATTTCATTGTTGGTGTACATTAATGCCATTGATTTCTGAATATTGACTTTGTATCCCACTGTTTTGCGAAATTCCCTTATTAGGTAGAGTAGTTTTTTTCGTGGAGTGTATAGGATTTTCTATGTACATTATCATGTCATCTGCAAACAATGACAGTTTTGCTTCCTACTTTCCAACTTGGATGCCTGTTATTTCTTTTTCTTGTCTGATTCCTGTGGCTAAGCCTTCCAATACTGTGTTGAATAAAATTGGTGAAAGCGGACATCCTTGTCTTGTTTCTGATCTTAGTGGGAAAGCTTTTAGTTTTTACCCATTGAGTATGATGTTGGCTGTAGGTCTCTCGTATATAGCCTTTATTAGAATACTCCCTATACTCCCACCTTGCTGAGTCTTTTAATCATAAATGGGTGCTGTACCTTATCAAATGCTTTTTCCACATCTATTGATATGATCATGTGATTTTTGTCTTTGCTTTTGTTTATGTGATGTTTTACATTTATTGATTTGCAAATATAGTACCATCCTTGCATCCCTGGGATGAATCCCACTTGGTCATGGTGTATGATCTTTCTGACATATTGCTGGATGCAGTTTGCCAATATTTTGTTGAGGATCTTAGCATCTGTATTCATCAGTGATATTGGCCTGAAGTTTTCTTTCTTTGTTATGTCTTTATCTGGTTTTGGGATTAGGATCTTAGAATTCTTCTTTTAGTCTCTGTGTCATTTACTTGTGCTTTGATCTTGGTTATTTCCTTTCTTCTACTTGCTCTGGGTTGTCTTTGTTGTTGTTCCTGCAGTTCTTGTAGATCTAGGCTTAGGTTGTTTATTTGAAATGTTTCTATCTTTTTTAGGTAGGCCTGTATTGCCATGAACTTTCCTATCTGGACTACCTTCGCTGTGTCCCTTAAGTTCTAGATTGTTGTGAGTTCAGTTTCATTTGTTTCCAGAAACTTTTTGATTTCTCCCTTGATGCCATTCTTAACGCTTTCATTGTTTAATGGAATGATATTCAATCTTCATAAATTTGAGTGTTTTTGAGTTTTTTCCTTGATGTTCATTTCTAGTTTCAGTCCCTTGTGGTCAAAGAAAATGCTTGCTATGTTTTCGATTTTCTTGAATTTGTTGAGGCTTGGTTTGTGTCCTATCACCTGGTTTATCTTTGAAAATGTTCCATGTGTATTTGAAAAGAATGTGTGTTTTGCTTCTTTGGGATGAGAGGTTCTATATGTATCAGTTATGTCCATTTGACCTAGGGCACTGTTCAATGCTGTAATACTTTGTTGATATATTGTTTAGAAGATCTGTCCATTTTTGACAGTGGGGTGTTAAAATCCCATACTATAACTGTGTTGTTGTCAATATCTTTCTTAAAGTCCTCCAAGATTTTCTTTATGTATTTGGATGCTCCTACATTGGGTGCATATATATTTACCATGTTTATGTCTGCTTGGTGGATTCTTCCCTTGAGTATTATGAAGTGACCTTCTGGGTATCTTTTTATGGCTGTTTTTTTGAAGTCTGTTTTGTCCGATATGAGTATTGCTACCCCAGTTTTTTTTTCATGTCCATTTGCTTGGAATATTTTTTTCCAACCCATCAGTTTCAGCCTGTGTATGTCTTTTGTTCTGAGGTGGGTTTCTTGTAGCCGTCATTTGTGTGGGTCATATTTTCTTATCCATTCAATTACTCATTGTGTTTTGATTGGAGCATTTAATTCATTAACATTTAAGGTTATTGATAATAATATATTATTGGTAATATCAATATTATTGATAAAATTTATTCATTTTCCCCCCTTTATACCTGTGTTTCTGTCTCACTCTTCCTTTCTCTTCTTATAGTAGTCCATTTAGTATATCTTGTATTGTTGGTTTGGTGGGGATGTATTACTTCAGACTTCTTTTTTCTAGGAAATTTCTTATTTTGCCTTCCATTTTAATTGAGAGCCTCGCGAGGTAGAGTAATATTGGTTGCAGGTATTTGTTTTTCATTACTTGGAATATCTCTTGCCATTTTCTCCTGGATTGGAGTGTTTCTTTTGAGAATTCAGCTGCTAGTCTTATCAGAGCCCCTTTGTATGTTATTTCTTGGTTCTCCCTTGCTCCTGTTAAGATTCTCTCTTTGTCTTTAAAACTTGGCACTTTAATTATATATCTTGTAGTAGGCCTTGTTGGGTTTGTCTCAGTTGGGAGTCTCCGTGCAAGTTCTCTGGACTTGCATGGTGTTTTCCCTCTCCAGGTGCAGAAAGTCTTCTCTTACTGTTTTTTCAAACAGGTTTTCTATCCCTTGTTCCCTTTCTTCTCCTTCTGGTATTCCTATGATTCAAATATTGTTGCATTTCATGTTATCTTGGAGTTCTCTTAAGCTATCTTCATAAATTTTGAATCTTTTTTTGTGCAGCTGCTCTATCTAGATGTTTCCTTCTACCTTGTCTTCCAGCTCAGTAATACAGTTCTCTGCTTCATCCAGCCTGCTTGTAATTCCTTCTAGTGTGTTTTTTATTTCTGAAATTTTACTTTTCATTTTTCCTGGTTTTTGATTATATTTTTATTTCCTTTTTCATACTATTGTAGTTCTCACTCAGTTCCTTATAGTTGTCTGTGAGTTCTTTGAGCATCCTTTTAACCATTCTTTTGAATTCTATATCTGATAGTTTGCTTGCCTCCATTTCATTTAGCTCTTTTAGTGGGGAGTCTTCCATTCCTTTTGACTAAAGTTTCTTTTTATCTCCCCATTTTAGGTGACTCTTTGTGTGTGTTTCTAAGCTTCCTGATGTTCCGCTTTGCCAGCTGTCGTTGGTAGGAATTCTGTGGGATTCAGTGGAATGGTCTCTTTGATCTCCTTGTCTGGATGCTCTAGGTTTGCCATTACTTCTGTTG